GGGTCAGCTGACACTACATGGAGTTGTGGGATGAGAGGAAGGAATTGACTGCTGGGTAATGGAAGATGTTTTCGGCTGATGCAAGGGGGAGGCGGGGTGTGGAGCGGCGTGCGGCAGGTGCGTGGCTGGCAGCAAGCGCTGAGGGCGCGGTCGTGACGGCGGCGTTTATGCATGTCCCGGGAAGCCGCCGCCGCCGGGCAGAGGCCGCAACTTAGCCCGCGAGCCACGGAGGCGCGCCTGCCCGGCTGCCCCTCACCTGAGATCTGCCCGCCGGCGGTGGCGTCCGCGCGCAGCAGCCGCCAGGCAAACTCGGCCGCCTTGCTAATGGCCCAGAAGATGACCACCACAGAGCCAAACCCCCGATGGTGGTCAAAGACGAACTCGACGGCTGCAGCGGTGCGTTGGGGTGGAGGTGTGCGTGTACCTTTGTGCGTGTGCATGTGCCGATCTATGTGTGTGTGTGACTTGACCGTGGAGGCTGTTTGGTGTTGTGGGTTGGGTGATTGAGCGGGGGCAAAGGCTGCAACCAGCTCGCCTGGGGTTAACTCCCAAAATTGGTCGGCAGGGACAGGGCCAGCCGGATGGCCTGGCAGATTTGTGGTGCGTGCCGATCCGCATCACGCCCACAACGTCCCCGCCCCCCCGGCCGCCCGGATGGGGGCGGCAGCGGGCGCCCGCGCGGCGCTCTTACACCCACAATCCTGGTCCCTGCGCGCCCGCGCCGCCCTCGCACCCGCCCCCGCCAGGGCGACGCCCAGCAGCAGCCTGGAGCGTGCCGGCGGGCGTCGCCGCTGCAGGGCTGCCTCCAGCAGCGCCGCCAGCGCGGGGGGCACGACCGCCATCCAGCACAGCAGCATGAACACGCTGGGATGGCAATGGCAGTCGTGGGCGTCAGGTTGAGGTGGGGGCACAGACCGCTGTGCGCGCGCCACATGCACTGGCATGGTTGCAGTGCGTGTGGGGGTGTGTTTTGGGGTGAAGGGTGGGGGGCGCACGCGTGAACGAGGTGAGTCGGCACGAGCATGACTGAGGGCGTGCCGCCCCCCCCCTCCAGGCTGCGGCTGCGGCAAGCTGGGCGGTACAGTCAGCGGTGTCCTGCTGTTGTACGGGTGCCGTTCCTGCCCGACAGGTCAGCCACGTTGGCAAAAGGGGGCCAGGCCCACAGCCGCGTGCTGCCTAGCTGAATCAATTCGCTCGCCTGCCAAAGTATAGGGTAGACATTAGCGTCAGCAGCTGCAGGGCCAAGGGAGCAAGGGCGAGGCGCTGAGGCGGGTGTTTGGATGCATCCATGGCAGGGGTGACGCGCTGCCCTCCTGATTCAACAGGATGCAGCATAAGACAGCGCAGCACGGTCGCACCCAGTTACGTTTTGGGACGTCGACCTCAACACCGCCTCACCCCTGCTCAACGCCGGCCCTCCCATGCCACCCCCCCCTCGCCGCTGCTCGCGCCACCGCCATGCCCCGGCCTTCCCACGCGCCTGGGCTCCCGCGATTGCCGCCTGCACCGACGCGCCGCGCGTCGAAAAGCTCGAGAGCACGGGATCGTCCGGGATCAGCCCCGCTGCGGCGGCCGCCAGGACGGCCGCGACTGCGGCGGCCTGGTGGAGCGCGGTGAGCACTGCGGGTGCGGAGAGCTCCAATAGGGCTGCCTTCATGAGTACAAGGCTGGAGGCCTGTTCGGTGACGTCACATGTGAGCGGAGGCGGCGGAGGCGCGGGTGATGAGGGGCTCCCACTTAGGGTGGAGTAGGGTGCGCGATCCTGGTGCGCAATGGGGGCGGGCTGCCCTCTTGCATGTGGTGATGTGCGTCAGTGTGCGGTGTGTGGTGAGGCGGCAGCATGGCAGCCGGCGCGGCCTCTGCCGGAGGCTCGCCCGCAGCATGCTCCCTGGGGGAAGACGTGGGCAGGGGGGGTCCCCTTCAGGGTGCTTTCACACCTGGGCGCAAAGGAAAAGGCCAAACAGCGCGTTGGTGCGGTTTTTCTCCAGCAGCGCCCCGAATTGGGCGAGATCAGCAGGCTCCGAGGCATGCGCGGGGACGCCATGGGCGCCCAATTGCTGCCGTTGCTGCCGTTGCTGGTCGTGCTGCTTGCGGCCCATCGCCTGCTCGATCAGCTGCTGCCCGATCGCCTTGCGCAGTGCGGCCGGGGCCTGCGATGATGTGCAGGGCGTCGGCACGTGCAGCACAAGCGCCTCGCTGCGTACAGTACATTGAGATGTGACCGACCTGCGCCAAGCTGACACCCACCTGATCCATCGCTTAGCACTCGTTCCCAACACCTACAATGGCATGTAATGAACACCGAGGTGTACGAAGGTCCTGACAACTTGAATCCCGCCGCTTGATCAGTGTTTGTTCGCGTCCTTGTGAGATGCTATTAGATGTGTTTGTGACGTCTCGATACAATACGGCATCGTTCGCTGCACATCACGGCAACAAACACTTGGGCGCCTCTCTGCTTCACGCCCACTCCTTGAAATGAACTCACACACATGCGGCACCCGCTGCCGTTCGCCAACAACGCAGCAGCTGCAGGGCAGACAGGATAGTGATGAAAACAGATGTTACCGTGCTCAGCTTGCGTTTGGGCGGGTGTGATTTGCTGCGACTTGTCACCACCAGGCCAATGCATTGGCCCTACAGTAGCTGCCAAATAGTTGTCAGGTACCCTGCGCCCCAGCAGCCTGCACGGCCATCACTCAGTCTGCGTTCCACAGAGTCTGCTATACATGGGTACCGGATGTGCCGCATTCAATCGCTGGCAGAAAGCTTGGGCCGCCAGAGGTCGCGCGCTGTCCGCAGGCGTCATACACTAGAAAAGCACTCAGCCGTTGTCGCCACGGGTGCGCCGCAGCAGGCACCCAAGCGAACCAGGTCTCGGACCTCTAGAGCCTGCTGTGCTGCAGGTGGCCGCGCGCCATCACACCAGAGCGGGGTGGATCAGGGCATGCAGCTTCGCCGGAGTTGGTGGCGCCCTGTGTGGCGCCCAAACTGCTCCGTCGCCGCGCAGCTAGCCGACTTGGAGGAAAAACATTACACAGTTTTCACCTGGCATCCGTTGGAGATCTCCCACTTCAACACCTCACCAAACAACATTCCAGCTTAAAAGCGCGCGTCCGCTCGCCTTCCCGTTGCGACGTAAATGCACACAAAGATGGGGCCCATTGATGCTGGGCAGGCCTGCGGGCAGGCCCAGTGGTGGTCGCACAAGCACTACTGGCGGTTCGTAAACTTCTTTAGAAACAACGGCCAACAGCCGCATGATGTGGGGCCCCAGCCATCCGCACACAAACGAATGGGAAGTGTCAGGACTGACACAAAGGCAGCCGTTGTACCTTCGCTCCCCAGCTTCCAAAACAGCAAGATGCTGTGCAAGCGGCGCTTGGGCAATCGAAGATGGGACCAAAGGCCCCCGTCCACGGGCCATCTTTGCGCTCTTGCAACATGATCTGGACAACCGGTCGGACAAGAAGCATTTCAGGCGCACGCGCAATACGCGCCAGGACTAGCGACAGGATGGCAGTGTGTGTGCGATCGCGTGGTGAGCGGCTGTGATGGGCGGGGCGCAGGTGCACCACAGGACAGCGCTCGGGACTGTTGTCCACTGGGACGGGTTTTGTTGTTGGCGTGAGGTCGGGGCGCGGGGGAGCGCTGAAAAGGCAAGTGCAGCTAGACAGAGGCCAGCAAATCGTGCCGGGATTATGCTGATGCCCCTGGTAGAGGCGGACCCTTGAGATCCGCAGGGGAGGGGGAGGCGCGTATCAACTTTCGACCAGAATGCGGAGAGGCGCCCCATCATGAAGGGCTCATGTGCTACGTTCGGTCGGAGGAAGATGGTGGGCTGCCGCCCACACTATCATCCTCCCCCTAGAGCTCGAGGACGAGTGGCCAGGCGCGCCGCGCTGCCGCAGCGGTCGCGCACGGGGGCGCCCAGGCGCCAAAGCTGCCAGCAGCACGCGGCTAGGTCAGGCACACCGGCTCCAATGGTGCCGCCCGCGCCCGCGGAAGCCTCATGATCAGGGCCCCGCAAAGCAGGGGCAGGCCAACTGGGCGCGCAGTGGCTGACTCCGCACCCCTTTGGCCGAGGGTGTACCTTAGGGCCACACCGTGACCCAATTCCTGAAAACTTGGCCGTCATAAGTGGAGACTCAGCGTCGCATAAATTCAAGCAAGGTCCACTTAAGGGACCCTGCTGAAACATCCGTCCATGAGGGGTGGGGCCCAATGCGTTCGGTCCCCTGTCGCCACCGGCCACGTTGTTGTGCATGCAAGCCGCCGGCGCGGTCCGTGCATAAAGAACACCGTGCCCTTGCAGGAATCGTGGGGGCATCGAGTGTTGCGAGGGCTCGTACTGCATTGCAGCTGCCCTTGATGCGTCAGAATTAGGCAGGCGCCATCGTGCACCAAGCTCCTGCCGGAAATCATGTCAGTGTTGTTCAAATGCCGCGCAGGCGAGCATGAGAGTCCGCGAAGCGCGCGGCTCGCAGGGGCTGCCGCTTGCTCGCCTGAGGTGGCAGCTGAGCCGCGGGTGGAAAGGTAGAGTCGCCTTGGGGGCGGGTGCCCACCGCTAGGACGCAATAAAACATGTAATTCTCAGAGAATGATGATGCAGTTTAGACCACACATTCATTTTGTGTGGTGCATTCGGCGTTGCTGAGACGCAGTTGCCTGTGAGGCGGCAGGCTTGCGCATACCATTATGAGGCAGGCGTGTCCACCGAATGGGCCGCATCTGCGGAAGCTCCCATGGTCCATGCAAATCTAATCCTGGTGCACCACAGCTTCTGGAGGCGTTGGCCCCGCGGTCATGCAGACGTGCAAGACGGGCCTGCAACGACTTCAGCCGTCTGCACCATCACTACGGGCCGGCGCCCCGTGGCCTTGCACAGGCAGCCGGCGTCCAACTCCGCAGAGGCAAGCCGGACGCCGCCCGACGGCGTGTTGGTGACGACCACGCCGTTGCCGTTTGCGATGTTGCAAGAGCTGATGGTCGTGAACTTGCTGTTGCTGCATGTCGCCACGACGGTGTTTAGGCGCCCCACCGAGAAGCCCCGCGCCGACTCGAACTCAACGGACAGGACGTTCGTGCCGTTGCCGTTGCCGGCGGGGCCAAGGCACGAGACGGTCGCATACCCGGAATTTTGCGTCTGGGTGACGCAGCGTGCCGGGTTCTTCTTGGTTGGTTTGAGTGCGCACACCTGCAGATTGGTGTTGGGCGCGGGTGCGACGGTGCTAGTTTTGCATAGTGACAGAAAGGAGGCGTGCGCACGTGTGAGTGAGGCATGCAAGGGGAGGGATCTCTTGAGAAGCGGAGGTATGCCACCCTGCCGTCATTGGTGGCTGCAAACGGGATTATTCACAAATCTCACGCAATGCATTGATGCAGGTGGGCAGAGGTATGCATAATCATATGCATTATGATTGTGCAGCAAGCGCCCTATGCACTGCGCTGCGCCCCGGCAAGCGCCCCCACCTGAGTGGCCAGGCCCGCGGTGAAGGGGTAGCTTGCAACAAAGTGGGCAGCGCTGCTTTTAGCTGTAACCTTTGTCGTCCTGTCGTGCATGGAGGGGCAGGCAAGGGGTTGTGTAACCAGCATGTCACTGGGGGGCGCGGATTTGGTCAGTTTGGCGGCGTCGAGGCACACACCCTCCAGCCAGTGCTCCGCTTTCTTTCAAAAGACTGTGCTGGGCTCGAGCATGCAGGGCCGTCACAGTAGCCTGAACGGTCCCGAACAGCGCAACCCACATTGCGGCCTTGACAAACTCCCGCAGGTTCAGGCACTTGCACTTGGACAGCCGCTTCAGCCGGTTCATCTTCTTGCCGACGTTGATCCGCTTGCAGGTGGGCGCGTTGCCCTTCGGCGGCTCCCTCTGCTTGGGGCTCACGCAGCACGCCTGGAACACGGCGTTCTTTGGCTGCACGGTGGCTAGCAGCCTGCGCGCGCCGCCAGCCGCGGTGTCGGCGGTGTCCACCACCTCCCCGTCCGCCCCCTGCACGTCCCCCTCGAAGAACGCGGTCGCAGCCCTGGTTGTCGGGTTGCGGACGACGATGAACCCTCCGACCGTGCCTGTCGCCACGACGCATTTTTTGGCTGCCAGGGTGGCCGGGGTGCACTGCAGGTTGACCGTCGCGCAGCCGTCCACAACCTTGAGAGATCCGAAGCTGGTGCTGCGGCAGAGCGACCCCAGTAGGGGCGACGCGCAGAGGCCCAGGGCCGGCTGCGGCGCGCCGACGTTGCGGGGGGAGTTGATGTTCCCGAGGAGAGAGGACACAGCCGAGGACGAGGAGCTGGCCACGTTGGTGGCGAAAGTGACGAGCACCTTATTGTTGTCCTGTTGTCGCGTCGCGCGGGAGGGGGAAAGGGGAGCAAAGTAGCCCTCAGCAGAGGTTTGGGCGACAGGAGGCAGGGGCTAGAGCCAGGCTAGCTGCGGCGCAAGCCAGCAACGAACTTCGCACAACGGGCGCCCTGCACCAGGGCCCCCGCACTTGAGGGGGTGGCAGCGCTATTGATGCGCTGCCGCGCTCGCTGTCAAGGAAAAATTGGACGATCAAGCGCGACGCCAGGGCCCCTGCTGCTGCGTGCTCATGGGGATCCCCCCTCTTCGAGCACCTCCCCCGGCCGGGCGGCTTCCACTCACTATGAACTCGCACTTCACGGCCATCATGGTCACAGAGGTGACGCCCTCGGTCCCGCGCAGCTTCACGGCAAACTGGTCCGCCAGCGCCGTCAGCTTCGTCACGTCCCCGGGGCACGCGGCGGCGGTGACCGTCAGATTATCGGCGGTGCTGAGGACGAGCCGGATGTTCACCTCCATCCCGGCGTCACTGGGCGAGCTGGACGAGTCGACTTGGAGGGTGACGTTCGCAGATGCGTTGCGCAGGGAGTAGCCGTCGCTGATTGTGTACTGGAAGGTGACGGGCCCCGAGAAACCCCTGTGGTGCAAACATCAGCCGCGTGCGGGTAGGCGACGATGTGACGTGGGAGATAAGGTTAGCGAAATGATGCAACAACTTTAGGAGAGGGGGGATAAGAGCAGGCTGGCTTCTGATAGGAAAGGCGCAAGGTGCAAAGAATGTCTGCAGCCCGCCTTGACCTGGGGTTGGGGGGGACAAAGGAAGACACACGCCCGTAGCGCCCAAATCCCCCAGTCCTCCCACCCAACCTCGCGCCGCCCTCAACACTAATCACAGCATCACTCACGTCGGCGGGATGAACACAAGCGACCCGTTGGGCTGCAGCGCGAGGTTCCCCACTGACGGCGCAGACGAACCCACAACTGTAAGAACGGTGCCTGGGGTCGAGCTGTTGTCATTGGCCAGCACGCCAGACCCGGGCACCGTGCAGGGTGCATCGTTGGGGCAGGTGAACGCGTCGTTGACCGCGATGGGGGCCGGCGGCGCCGCGCCGGTGACGGAGATTGTCACTGGGACGGTCCTAGTGGTAGAGCCGTCGCTGTAGGTCACGTTGACCGTGATGTTGCCTGCGAAACCGCTGTGAATGGTTTGGGGTGGGGCGAGGAGGCGAACGTCAGCCTGCTGCTATTCTTGATTAGCACGACATGACGAGCTGACACCAGTCAAGCCCTGCCACATGCAGATGATGTCAACTTGCTGCGTTCTGTCGACCGCCCTATCAGGCACTCGGCATCCACGTATATAGACCCGGTGCTGCCACCAGGGCGCGTCCCAACCTGGCGTATGCAAGAAACCCCGTTGACCACTCACAGGACTGATGTGAAGACAAAAGACCCATCAGGCCTAATAGACAAGCTGCCGACCGCAGGCACAGTCGGGCCCACGTTGAGGAGTGTAAGGGTGCGGTTGTTGGGGTTCGGCACGAGGCCCAGCAACCCGGGGCCGCCAGTGGTGCAGACGGCGTCCCGCGGGCAGGTGACGGCTCCACCACTGGGGGCCGGTTGCAACGGCGTGCTGCACGTGGCGCCCGTGAAGCCCGTTCCCGTGCAGTTGCAGGTGTTAGTGGCAACACATTTGCCGTTGTTGGCACACGGCGGGCTGCACACTGCCCCGACTTGCAGGGTGACAGTGCCAGTCGCGTTCTGCAGGGAGTAGCCGTCGCTGACTGTGTACTGGAAGGTGACTGGCCCGGAGAAGCCCCTGCAGTGCGAATGTGCACAGCACCAGGGGTCGCATGCGCAAGGTTGAAGGCAAGTCAGATGAGGCCAAGGCCAGGAGCCATTGCCCTAGGTACAAAGCAGAGACCGTGGTCCCACAATAACTTTTATCCTGCTGGCACCACATGGCAGGCATGCTTGAGGCAGGGAGCAGGCGATGGAGCCGAAACAAGTAATGGACGGCCATCACCTGCTGGACTGCACAACGCCAGCCGGCCCAGACCTGCGCAGCTCAGAGCCGACGGTACGCCCCTGCCCGGTCTCAATCGCCCACCACCTCCCCTACCTCCCGCCCCGCATCCATCACGTCGCCACTCACGCTGGTGGGTTGTAGACAAAGGACCCATTGGGCTGCAGAGCAAGGCTGCCCACAGATGGCGCAGTTGAACCCACAACCTTGAGAACAGTGCCCGGGGTTGAGCTGTTGCTGTTGGCCAGCACGCCAGGCGCGGCCACGACGCAGGGGGCGCCGATCGGGCACGTGAACGCATTGCTGCCAGCAACAGGCGCCGGCGGCGCTGCTCCGGTCACGGAGATCGTCACTGGGGCAGTCGTGTTGTTGACGCCGTCGCTGTAGGTCACGTTAACCGTGATGTTGCCCGCGAATCCGCTGCAATTAGGGAGTGCAGGGGATGAGAGGACTGTGAGATATGCCCCATGCTCACAGCTGAGTGGTGACTGTGATGAAAGCACTTGCCCCGCGCAACGTGTAGTCAAGGACACTTGCGAGGCGCAAGAAAACGTTCATGCATGCATCAGGTTGTTGAATTCGGTCGACTGCCTCCTTAAGCGGCGCCATCTTCTTGAGCAACTCACAGGACAGAGGTGAAGACAAACGACCCGTCAGGCTTGACAGCCAAGGTGCCGACCGCAGGCACAGCCGGGCCCACGTTGAGGAGTGTAAGGGTGCTGTTGGCGGGATTGGGCACAACGCCCAGCAACCCAGGCCCGGCCTTAGTGCAGACGGCGTCCCGTGGGCAGGTGATGACGCCGCCACTGGCGGCCGGTTGCACGGGCGTGCTGCACGTGGCGCCTGTGAAGCCCGTCCCAGTGCAGTTGCAGGTGTTGGTGGCAACACAAGTGCCGTTGTTGGCACACGGCGGGCTGCACGCTGCCGCGACCTGCAGGGTGACAGTGCCAGTCGCATTCTGCAGGGAGTAGCCGTCGCTGACTGTGTACTGGAAGGTGACTGGCCCGGAGAATCCCCTGCGGCAGGAATGTGCACACCAAACGAGGGGATGCATGCGTGACCAAAAAAGCGGGAAGAAAGACAGATTTTGAGGGAGGACGATGCGGCCATAGCACTTGGTACAAAGCACAGTATTGAGGTCCTGAGCATGAATATTCCTGCAGTTTTGGCATTCATGCTTGAGACAGGCGACAGCACGGCATGGTACCCAGAACGGACCTTGACCGCGCAACCTGGGCGGGTGACTGTGCACCACTGCCAAACCTCCATGCCCCCCTTTCTCTCCGCCCATCATCCCATCACCACTCACGTTGGCGGGATGTACACAAACGACCCATTGGGCTGCAGCGTGAGATTCCCCACTGATGGCGTAGACGAACCCACGACGGTGAGAACGGTTCCTGGAGACGAGCTGTTGCCATTGGCCAGTACGCCAGGCCCGGCCACGGTGCAGGGGGCGCCAATGGGGCACGTAAATGCGTTATTCACAGCAACAGGCGCAGGTGGCGCCGGGCCGGTGACCGAGACCGTCACCGGGGTGGTCGTGTTGGTGACACCGTTGCTGTAGGTCACGTTGACTGTGAAGTTGCCAGCAAATCCGCTGCCATGGGGGGAGGGCGTGGGAGGGGAGTACGTTTAGTGGGCGCAACTGCAAGCCGACAACCAGAGGAGGAGCCCGGGGCCCTGTCGCTTGTGGAAAGGGTAGCCCGGCTGCTGGGCTGCTCGCAAGCACTGAATCTTGCGGCTCAAGTTCGAAGCGTCCAAGGTGCTGAATCGGGAGCTCGTCGGCCCTGGAAGATGACATCGTCCGAATAATCCACTCACAGAACAGAGGTGTAGACAAAGGACCCGTCAGGCTTCACAACCAAGGTGCCGACCGCAGGCACAGCTGGGCCCACGCTGACGAGCGCTAGGGTGCTGTTGGCAGGGTTGGGCACAACACCCAGCAAACCAGGGCCGGCCTGGGTGCAGACGGCGTCCCGCGGGCAGGTGATGACACCGCCACTGGCGGCCGGTTGCACAAGTGTGCTGCACGTGGCACCCGTGAAGCCCGTTCCAGTGCAGTTGCAGGTGCTGGTGCCAATGCCGCCGATGATGCTCCGCTCACACTTTCCGCCGTTGGCGCAGGCCGGGCTGCAAGCTGCGGGCGGACAAATGAGCGATTGGCGGCACAGCAGGGGCGCCGCTGGCATGTCTCAGGGGCGAGCTGGGCTGCTGGTCCTGGGCAGGGGGCGGCTCCACGGCTTGTTTGAAAAAGGTCGCGCCTGCGGGCACGCCTTGCAGCACCTGCTGAACGAGCTGCATAGCCTGAGCCGGTTGGCTCGCGCTGGCTGAGGCCAGCAGCTGCACTGCCGCCACAGCACCAGGCTTTTGCCTTGGGCAGCAGCCAGATGCTATAGCTAGACAAAGTTGTTGATAATTGATTATAGGCGGCATGGCCGTGCCAAGAACTTAAGGGGGATCAGGGCACTCAGTGCCTTGTCTCGCACCTGGCGTGTTGCAGGATACCCCAGTCCAGCCAGACGTGCAGTTGCACACATCAGGAGCCGAGCAGTTTCCGTTGACGCATCCGGCCGAGCACACTGCGCATACAAAGGGTGCAGCAAGAGTAGCGTAAGAGGCTTGCTGGCACGGGTAGCGTGACAGGCTTGCTGGCAGCCTGTGGGTGACCTCCACTACTGCCCAGCAGCCGGCTGGCCGGAGATGCACGCGATGGCGCAAACCAAGTGCTGCTAAGTGGCCGCCGCTGACTGCCGCCGCCAAGGCCTCACCTGGCGTGTTGCATGAGGTCCCGCTCCAGCCAGACGTGCAGTTGCATACGCCAGGCGCAGAGCAATTGCCGTTGACACATCCGGCAGGGCACGCTGTGCACAAGGAGTGCCGGTGTGCGACAAGGAGGGTGAGTTTGACAGGCTTATGACTAGGCTCGTGGGTGTTTTGAACGTCCCTGAAGTCGTCAGGCGAGACTGGTGACTGCTGCACAGCCTGCACAGCCGGGTGGCTGGGTCACAGCCGGATCGTGTGCCTAGGTTGAGCCAGGTCGATAACCTGGTGTGCCGT